TCAATATTTTTTAATCAATAATTTTATTGAAACGTCTTAACTATTCTTAACAAATATTTCTCTAGGTCAGTATTATTTTAAGTCACGTTGTACAATGATTCGGGGATTTCCGTAATAGTTATTTATTTATAGGAGCCGCAATTAATTCTTTTAATTTTTAGGGTTTATTTTTATTTTTATTTTTATTTAATTCATCAATTGTTCTTATTGTTCTATTTTATTGTAACAGATTGAATAAAAACCCTTTAATAACAAAAAAAAAATTTTTAGGGGGGCGTGAACCAAAAAAGTTTGGGAAACCGCTGATCTAATACATAAAGCTATAAAATATTAGTTATATTTATGTCGTCAGTCATCAGATTTTTGGTGGCTGCAAGAGGAACAAAATAATAGTTTTAAGTGAATACCAGAAATTACCGTGGTTGGTAGATCTACCTATATAAATAAGAGTGTAATCGTGTAGAATAAATAATAATAATTTATTAATCTAACGACACAAGGTTGACAACGTTAGGTACACATTTGTCCGTTGTCGATCTAATAATATTCTGGTAACGTTTCACTTTCAAATTTAAATTTTATTGAAGTACACAAAAGTAAGTTACAAAAATAAAATATATTTTAAATTTTAAATTTTACAGTTTTAGTTTCTGATTGTCATATATAGGTAATGTAAAATATTAATTTCGTTATTTATTCATTACCTGCATGTTAAGATGTTATGTATTATTGATATTATAAATGTTTATAATTTTATATTTATGTCGACTAAAATCAGTATCGTTATAAAATTATTGTAGTAGTGTTAGTAGTTACATTATATGATTTATACTGGTAAAGAGTTTTTTTATTTCTGTGTGTAACGCGTAAGTTTATTACGTACCCAAGGTTTCGCTAACAGATAGCGCTAAGAGTTTCAATTCAAGTAATAAGAGAAGTGTTTTTCAAAGAAATATAATTTAATAGACACAGCATAAAGGTTTGAAATATTGCAAATATTTCAGTTATAGTTAGTTATTTTACAATTATTTACAAATATACATAATGAATACTGCATTAAAATTTAAAGGTAAAGGTAAATAGTAGGGTGACATTATTTATAAGACTAATTCTAATAGTAACTAAGAGCTAATGATTACAGGTAACAGGTTCCATTTTTTTTTATGTTGTGTTGTATTTACTAGTTTGTTGAATTTAAGAAGGCTATCACGTTGGTGTTTTCCTTGGTTTTTGGCCCCAATTTAGTGTAAAAGATGGGATCTACCCAATCTACTATGTCGATGTCGCTCATATTTGAAGCATCCAGTAATTCAGTTATAATGCTCTTCACAGTCAGTTTGACCCCACAGACTTTGCATGTCTTCCTTGGTTATTACTTAGGTACCTGTGTGTAAGTCGGCTGTGTACAGTTTTCATTTGATTTAGAATCGATTTTTCTTTCCTTTTTAAAGAATTATTTATCCACGGTAGGTAGTTTCTTTTAATTGTGTTTTATTTGGTAGTTCGAAGATTCTATAATATATATAATATTTTATAAACGGACGTATTAATATGAGTGCATGACACTATAGTGTGTTACTGTTACCACCTATTTGTGTAAAAACTTATTGTGAAAAGTATAATATTATATTGCATTTGAATATTTAAATAATATAATTGCACATGTATAAAAAATAATTAAAAATGACAGTGTCTTACGTACAACTAAATTTGTATGTGACATTTAAATTCATATTTTTTTAATGTACCTATTGGCTGTAGATAACATAAAATATATGTCTGTAAAATTAAATAAAACTGTAGTCAGTAACAGTAGAACAAATATTTAATGGACATGGTCAATCTTTAAAGTACATATTTAGAAAGCTGAGAAGCATGTTGCAGTTGCCGTAAAGCTATAGCATATATCCAATATTGTGCCTTCTGTTTTAGCGCTAAGCACATTGTCACATTATGTGAATGTTGACATATTGTATCCCTTATCACTGCAGTGTAATATTATTATCATTGGCCCTGAATGCATGAATATGTATGATCTGGTGTCCAATTCTGGCTGCATGTTAGTTGATGTTACTATTGCAACGTCCCAAAAGGTATTTTAAAAATATTTATATATTCATTATATTCTGAGTAGTAAATTTGACCTGTAACTATTGCGTTGCCGAACTAGGACTAAGACAGACCAATTTACAAATTACAGCATTTAAGGGGTTAAAAACAAATAAAACGTATTAAAAGGGAAAATTTAAAAATGAAAATAAATCTCAATTATCTTTGCTTTTGACTTGGAAATAGTATGCTTAAGTATGTTAATAGATTTTTGAAAGGGCTTTAAGGCACTACTTCAGGGTATCTACCTTTAAATTTGACACGTGCGTGGGCAGAAAAAGTCTTCCGTGGTTTAGGGCTCACAAATTAGATATAATAAATTAATAACTCTCACGGCCGATGTTCATTTTATTATCTATTCAATTTTTCACTACCTTTATTTATTTTACTTGAGATATTTCCAAATTCATGTTATATGTATATTAAATGTTTTTAAAATTTGGTTTTAGACTCATTATCAAAGTGTAAAAACATTGTAAAGTATAAGCGTCAAGATATTTTTTCAAAACGAGTACCTATACTGTTCTACGATTTTTGTTAAAAATGTGACAAGTTATTTACAAATAGAAACTTTGTCACTGATTTTGGTTTTTTTTGATTAAAAAAATTATTCAAGGAGTCGATATCTAGGCATTTATCATTTTTTAATGTTATAAATTGACTAAAATATGTATACAGATTGTTCATTATATTCGTTGGGATTCGACGAGTTTTTAAATTGTACGATTTCCGTATATTAAATGTTTTTATTTGCGCTGAACACATAATTAAATTACCATCGCAAACAGATGATAAAAAATGGTATTGATATAATAATATATACACGACTCTAAAGGTATGAAATATTAAAAATAAAACCAGAGTATCTCAGTGGTGAGTGATGCGAAAAATACCTTTGAAATAATTATTAATGATTTATTCTAATTTCGTAACGTTTCTATATAGCAACGGCAATCTGCTTATTACTGCATCAGGATCGAGTTGTACTAAGTTTGTGGAATATTTTATTGCTTAAATGATATATGCCTGTAAACATGTATATACAAACAGATAACAAGGATATAAAAATTACATTTTATATTCATATTAATTACATTTTAAGTATCTTTCAGATCATATTTTAAATAAATTGCCTCAAAAAAAATATTTATTACAATTAGTAGTATATTTAATACTGTTTATTTTTAGTTTTTTTTTTCTATAAATGTCAATAATTTTTTTTTTAGGTTGAAATGTTTGAAAATTTAATACAAGGTTCCTCATAAGTATTTTGTTATAATAGCGTTTGAGAAATATTAAAGATCTCTAGGCACGTTTTTTTATAAGTATTTAGAGTTCAAATTTTGACAAAGTTTATCAAAAACTCGAAAATGTTCAGATTATATTTTAGTTAAAAAATTAAAAAATGTTAAATTTTTATAGCTAAGGATTGAATTTAAAACAAGGATTTTCACGAAGAGTTCATACTGTAATCAAAAAATCTAAAAAATATACAAACACACTTTTTTTATAGACATTTTAAGTTTAAATTTGGATGAAATTACATATTAAAACCAAGAATCATGATTTTAGTTGTTTTGTTGTAATCTAAAAATATTATTCTTGGGTATACTTGAAACTTTTATAGTACCTATATTATTACATTTTATACACACAATGACGTTCTCAATTTTTCGGTTAAAATGAATTTAACCTACTGCAATACTAAATACTAATGCCTAATAGTAAAATAAATGACTACAATCACAATATAATGTTGCAAAATATAGGTACCTAGTAATATTATAGGCTGACCGACAGACTTAGCTCAGAATCGTTTTTCGTATACAATGATTTTATATAATTTAATTCAAATTTAACACATCCATCTCTTGACACTAATATACAGTAGACTAGTAGAGTTTTACCCACTTACCCGCTTTTTTTTCTAATTTAAGAGACTATGTATATGCAAATCGGAATAAATAAACAATATTCATATTATATTGTATTCATGTTTGTTATTTTACAATACAGATCGATACATTTTGGATTGATTACCGTGCCTTTCCGTTACTATTGTTCCATTATCGTAGCATAATAATTATGTTATATAGTATTGGCTTTATATCTTGTACTGCTTGTAGTTTCATATTATAACTCTGAGTGTACGCTGACAATTGTACAAAATATCCAGCCGTCTCACGGAGGTTTTTAAACGATGCCTTTGTTGACGCTGCTATAATACATATTTGGGGGCAATTACTCTCATCCCATCCCTCACAACACTTACTTTACTCTTACGGATATATAGGTATAACACACCAGTACACAACAAATGTATAGATACCATGTACATAGTGCAACGGTATAATAACTTCTGGAATACTGTGTCGCCCATTGTCTATAAGCATATAATGTATTTTATATTATGTTCGTGTGACAAAACGATGAGTGATTAATATATTTATTTAATATTACAAGGTGATTATTTTTAAGGTAAAAATACATTTTTTTTAAAGTTTCTAACTTTTTACAACAACGTTAAAAAATATTTTTTTCGCAAAGTAGAATACATCATAGATTATATTTACTGTTTATAATAACTAATAAGTAATTAAGACGTAAATAAATAAGAAAGAAATTGGTATGGACTGTGCACCTAGTCTAAATACGCACCTGTTATTATATAAGTCTATAGAAAACACAGCTAGTATAATATGATATTTATATTTTATCAGTGGCGTGGCGTGGGTTGTGAGTGAGTGTAAGCAGTGATACATATTAATTACCCCCCCCCCCCCCACACACACACACACACACACAAACACTAAAACATACAAGTTAATTTAGTTATACATTTTATAATTTTTTATTTAAAATAAAAACACATCATAAATAATAAAAACATTTTATTTATAAATTAAATCGATTCTTCTTGTTTTTTTAGTGAAATCATCAATTACATTATTATAAAATGAATTTTGGTTTTGAATTGTGGTCAACAATCGCATCTCAATTGTCAAAAGAGACAGATCTGAAAGTCTATTTTGGGACTGGGAGTTTCTGAGATGTGTCTTTATTCTTTTTAAGCAGGAAAATGAGCGTTCAGCTCCTGCACTTGTTGCTGGAATGGTTACAATCAATGATGCTAATTGTGTAACCTGTGGTAGGCTATCTGATAAGCCAGTAGATTTGAGATACATCCAAAGTTCATGAATATTTACTTTATGAAATTCAGTTGATGAGTATATAATAGAAAGTTCACTTCGTAGAATTGCAAAATCAAAATATTCACCATATTTATCTTTCAACGAGTCCATTGCATTTGTAGGAAATTTGTTGATATACTGTTCAAATTTTGAAAAATCTAATAAAGAAAAAAAAGTCAATTGAGTTATCTCTGTAAATCTTTCATTAGTTTTTGAAATTAATACGTCGATGATTTCAAAATAGAGCCTTCGGTAATTTGTTTTTCTATCTACAGATACATCAGTCACTCTTTGCCTTTTCGATCTTAACGGTAAATCTGTATGATACTGTTCCGATTTCAACCAAACGCGATCAAAATCATTTTTAATATTTTTTAAATGGTTTAAAAAATCAAATATTTTTTTATTACAATAAGTCACATCAAATATTTTTGTTTGTATTATATTAAAAAGTATTGTTGCTTGAGGTAAAATATTTCCAAATATTATAAGGAAAAAATTGAAGTCAAAATCTTGAATCGTTTGACAAAATCCTTTAGCGCACAATAATGTTTCACTATCCCATTTTTCACCATTTTCTACGATTGATTTCATGAGATTTAAAACTTCTTCTCTGTACTCAGTCATCATTTCAATAAGTCTACTATTATAATTCCATCGTGTTGGAGCCACAGACGGAAATCTCTTTTTGACTTCTTGATCAAGTGCATAAATTCTTTTTGTTGATTTTGAAAAAAATGATGAAAGGCCAGAGAGCGTGGTGAAAAATATTTTACATTCCTTTATATAATCAACTGATTGTTTTAATATTAAATTTAGTTTATGAGCATAACAATGTACAAATATCGCGTTTTTACATTTTGAGCGAACTAATGTCTGTAAACCGTTATGTTGTCCTGACATGACAGCAACCCCGTCATAAGTCTGTGCAACTAATTTATCTATGCATTTATATTCATTTAATAAACGAAAAACATGCTCAGCTAAACACTTAGCAGAGCGATCATGACTGACATCTACAAATCCCAAAAATCTTTCTTCTACCCCTTCATTAGTCACATATCGTAAAATTGTAGATAACTGAGATTTGGACATAATATCTGTTGTTTCATCCATAATTATAGAAACAAAATTTGTATGTTCAATTTCGTTTTGTATAGTTTTTAATAAAACATTAGAAATCGATTGAATGAGATCATTTTGTATGTCCCCAGAGAGTCCAGAAAAAACCGTAGATGTCGATAGATGTCCACTTAATTTTGGATCGAGTATACCCATTAAGTGTATTAACTCAACATAATTTCCCCTGTTGATAGATGTAACTTGTTCGTCATGTCCGCGAAATGAGAGCTCTTGTTTTGCCAAAAAACATGTTGCATCAATTAATCGACTTAAGACGTACCTATTATTTATAACAGACTCATTATGTTTTTCGATACTTTGTTTATATGCATCACTGAGACATGTTTCTATTCTAATATTACCAAATTTCTTTAAAGTAATTAATGATTCAATATGAGAACGATTTATTTCATGACGATGTTTTAGATTATGATAGTTGTTTAAATCACTGCAGCCATACTTAGACCAAGTATTTGATTCATGCGAAAATAAAATACACGGCCAGCAATATAATTTTTGAGTTTTTTGACAACCAGACAACCATTTGTTAGTATTATAATAAGAAGGATTAAAGTAACGAAAATTGTTTTTACATTTTGATTTTAAATCCTGAAGTGTTGGTGTAGGTCTCCCGTTATTTATAATATTTTGCTTTTCAATAAAAGTATTTGATCCAAACGATTTTAATAGTAGTTTTTCAATAATACAATTACATTCGCTATTACCTGAGGAGCTTGCCGACGAGTCCATTTTCATAAAACGTGGTTACATAATATACAATTATACAAGACGTATTCGAATATAGCAGTATAGCGAAATAAACGGTGTCGCGTCGCACGGTCGCGTATGCATTAGGAAAAGTGCTTACGAACTATGTAATAATACGTGCCCCCTCCAATGACACTTTGTCTATGTCCCTTTAATAGGCCCGCGTAAGCAGTTTCAATCCGCATTACACGGCGACGGCATAGAGCATAAACTATAAATAAAGTAATACGAAAATAAATCGCTAATAATTATTATGGACATCGATAATGTATATATAATAATTTTATACTCCTTTGAATTTAGCTCTATGCTGCACTTATAAATAAATATAATTTAACATATATGCATGTACCTAAAATATGTAATATCTGATTTTTGTGTAAACGAATTTTTTTCCCACCTTATCGTCTCGCCGCGTCTGGTTTATATTATTACATATAATAAAATTCGATGGGGTAGTCGTGTTGGAGCATTACGGTGTAATATAATTTTAGAAAAAAAAAAAATAGGCGATTACTGCATCGCGGACGGTTCGAGCTTACATCGGTGGCGACACATCCATTAGGACGGTGACTGGGCCGAAGATTTTATTTATCATCAAACGGGCGCGCCGGGTACACGACGAGGGTTAATCCGAAATCGAATTAAAACGTTCTTTTTTCTCTTTTTTTTTACCCCTCGCCTAGCCAACGCTTCTCGTACCGTACTAATCCGATTGTTGCAAATACGGCGGCGGCGGCGGTGGCGTCGTCGACGACGCACCGGACCGAGACATCTCCTGGTCAAAGTCACATTCGATTATCACTCGGTTGCTTACTTTTCAAAACGACCGAGTTATACATAAAGCACACGTCACGCACGTATATATAATATATACGTGAACAATGTATTATGATGGTATATAGCTGTTCTTGTACATATAATATTATTATACATATATGTCGTATATTGTATGTGTTATATACTCACATAAATTATAAATTATAATACCCGTGTAGTGCTTAATATACACGATATTGTACGTATAGTCACCACGTTTGTTTATTCTATTTTCCTTTTACGTATTATGTATTTAGGTACATATTTATTATTCTTGAAAAACGTACAAATGTAATATAAACAATAAATAATACTTCGGAATAAAGCCACTCGCCGGTTATCCCAGTCAACACATTTTCACGGTCAGTGCATATACTAATGCACCATATAGGGTCATACTACAAATCCATACAGGGCGAGCTGCCGTGTTTTCCCCACAAATAGTGGCGATGATGTATTTAAAATAGACTATGACATTGTACATCAAGCCCCCCCCCCCCCATGATCCCAGCTTTTTTAAATTTAACTATCAGATGCAAATTAAAGTACCTACATAATGCATGTTTAATCATTTATGTTTCGCTGTTCAGCAAACGATAAAAACACAATTATTGTTATTTATATTCAAATCAAAACGTTGATAAACTGTGGGTATGTATGCGTTTTGTCAGACTAAAATAGATATTTCATTATTGAAATGTAGAACAATTAATTTATTTTGAATTATTAAGACAGACAAACTACCGGTAATCAAAAATTTAAATTTTTGTTTCATAACAAATGATCACTTCACTAATGATTAGATATTTACTAATTTCAGAAAAATCCCAAGTTTAAATTGAGATTGATTAATGAATATAAATTATAATTGGGTATAATAGTTATAACTTATAAGTAATTATTATCAACTTGTTATGTATGTAGCTAAATTGCATATCTATATCGCCGTGTGATTCTAGTTTTCTTTATCATAATTCATAATAATTACTATCATATTCATTTTTATTAATATTACTAATGTAAATTACATTTTTGGAGCCAGATTTTTCAAAAACTCAGTAACTTTATATATTATTATGAACAATATTTGTCGAAATACCCGTATTTTTAACACATTTAATTATTATGTAGACAGAGTAAAATGGAAATTTTTTAATTTTTAGTTCATGTATTTGTAATTTGTATAGTTTTTATACATTAATATCGTGTACTTAAAATGGTCATTCATAATGGTCGTTCACGAAATCATTTCAACGAGTGGTGTCCCCTTCAACAAAAACGATACCTTCAGACAGTGGACGTCACAACATTGACCACCGACACCGGGACGATCGACCGTGTAGTGCTGATTTTCTAAGCTTCCTAGTTTTTTCCTTTGACTATGTATTTATTCAAATTTTGATTTTTAAACTTTTGAGCAGTGTCTTGTGGGATATGTTACTATGAACTATTATGGTTCGAAAATTATACTTAGTTATTAGTATTATTTATTTAGTTAAGGATGAGGATCGGATTATTTATTTTCGGTCCGAGTAAAAAATATAAGTGAAGTAATTAAAACAATATAGTCAAAATGTATTGCAATATATATTATACATATCAAACGAAAATATCAAAGTCAATATTAATAGAATTTTCATTATTTAATAGAATATTTAATTAGTTATCTAGGAGAATAGAATATGCCTAAGAGAGGCAAGAGGAATATAAAATAATTGGAGATATCTAATAACTATTATAACAATTATTAGTTTTGAAGTTAATAAGACTCAATAGATTTGAATCATCTATTCCATCGTTCAATTTATTTTTTTAAGTAACATAAGAATCTTTAATATAAAATTGTATTTAATTAATATTTAGTGGGTACCTATAAAATAATAATTAAGTCGTTCTGCTGGATAGTAGATGTAGAAAATACCTCTGACATTGAATTGTAGGTAACTGAATTAGTTTTCACCAACAAAATCGCATTTATTTTACTATTAAATACACATAAATTATTTTAATATTATATATTAAGTTGAGTAAGAGTTGTAAGTCAATACCGATTCACCGTAGAACGGCAGGTTCGTGTTATAAATATGTTATATAGCTTAAAATTAATCAAAATATTTTACTGATGACGTTTTTAAAATAACAAAACTCGATAAAATTTGCTACAGAAACCACTCTCATAGACGATGATTGAATAATTTTCACTACTTCAAAAGGTGATAACACTATGACAGACACATGTTAGTGTTAACGAACATAAGATCAATAAATTAGTTTTAGTTTCAATTCAAATCTAAGATTTTCTATTGTTTATTGTTTTTGGTTTTCATAACAAAAAAAAAAAAAAAATAAGAAGTTTGTATCACTATTGGACACTGTGTTTTTAAATTGTTGCCGACAAATGTTAGTGTTCAAAAATAACAAATATAATACGATCTCGGAGTCCGCCGGTTTTAAAATCCAAAAATCGGAATTCGAATAAAAACGCAACGTTAAAATATAAAATAGTGGAGGAGACGAGCTTGCAGATACCATGCATCACCCTGCAGTTGTATATACTACGCCGTTGCTCCTCCGTTTTCCGTGTCAAACTCACCGAGTCCCGATGGCGTATAATTTATGCGTTCATCGTAAATGCGAATGCCGCCGACGGCGCTGGATAAGCGAATCGGCCGGATAGGCGGATATTCTTTGCGACGGGATTTTTTTCTGGTTATTATTCGCTTTTTTTTTTTTACTTTTGTCCTCTTTTCGCAGTCTTTTTTTCCTGCGTATAATGATCAACACGAAATCCCCCGACGCCTTCGGAAACTTGTTGTTAAACCTGCGGGCGCACGCGGGGACAAATAAAATAATAATAAATGCACGCGTGCCCGCCACCGTTTGCGGATTTAAATCATATTGCTCACGAATTTATTTATGTGTCGTCCAGCTGTCTGAATAACCAACTATTCCGTCTTCGCAGTTTTTGACGGACAAAGTCTTCTGTTTTATTGGCGATTGAAAATGTAGAAAAACCAGCCCACTATTTCACATCCACTTATCGAGTTATTGGTAGTTAGGTACAGCCTTATAAATAATTTATGTATTAGTGGTACATATGACCAATGGGCGGCGACGTATTATGGTTATTTTTCTATATTTTTTTAAAACCTTTTATTAGAAAATACTGGCTATCAGTCTATGACTTAGCCTGCTGGTCGTTGGACAACAATATTTTGAATAATAATAATTTTTTATTATAATTTAACATTTTTGAAGCATTATATTGATATAGGTAATCTATGAATTTGAAATGATTTTTGTTCATAATTCGTAGGGAGTTTAAGCTTCTTTTCAACCCCTATAGTTGCTACGATACACCAAAAATATATAATTTGAGCATTTTGAAATGTCAACATCATGAAAATAGAGAAGTATAAAAATCAATATCGAGTGCATTAACGATATTTATTAAACCTATTGTAGACCCTGTTAGTTATTATTGAATGAAAAACAGGCGAAAACAGAAAACCACAACAAATTTGACTTAAATAGGAAATCAAACTCAAATTAGAGTTACAATAGTTTTAAAATTTATTCAAAAACAACGACATGGTCAATTTGGAAGAATTCTATAATAAATATATGAATAAACCATGTGATAAATCGGCCGGAACAAATTGCCCGGACAATATATAGAAAACGTGCCTCAACGTGGTCAATGTATAAAATGCGTAACATATTTAATATTCTTAAATAATAATAAGTATAATATGTTTATTTTATAGTTTATATTGATTTCAAAATTTTATAGATATATTTGTACGATATGTGAGTTTTTATATTGCTTAGAACAATGAAAATCTTATCATTTGATTATTAACAAAGCCGCAAGAAACTATACTGACATTACAATAATTTACTGCTTTGAAAAGTTTTTAGAGACAATACAAACTAGTTAGTAAACTAGTTTATTTGAAGAAAATTGAACTAGTTAATTTTTTCTACATGAACTTGAACAAATCAAGTTTAGTATTAATAACGAATGTATGTTACTATACTATTGTCTCATAAAATCGTTTAACATTTTAATTCGTTAATAAATTAATTAGGTATCTACTTCATTGATGAAATACATTATAGTTATTTTGAAAATGTGGCTTTAGGATTTTTTAAGTTACCTA